GTCGGAGCGCTCCTCCTCCTCTGTCCGGTGCCGGTGTGGGGTGAAAATCCTCCACCTCAGACGTTCAGAGATTGCAATACTGTGGTCACTTTCCATGTAGCATCAATTATGCTAATGCTAGCTGCCTGTCACGTTCTCTCGTCCTGGCCACACCTCCGCTCTCTAACCCCACCTTCCCCTACCCACACCCCCTCCCCTAACCACTTTGATGCATTTTTCAAATTTCGCCTTGGGGCGGAGTTATCTTTTCACAGGGGGGTAAGATACACTTTAAGTCAACTTTGAACTCTTTATTTAAGCTGTATCAAAAATATGAAATTAATCAAACAAATTTATTATTATTATTATTATTGTATACTTTTTTCACTTTTACTTCTGTGCCAAAATAGCCAGCATGCAGGCAAAATGCAAATGTGTTTCATGCTGGGGTCCATAAATAAAAGAAGAAAAGTCTGAACTACAAGCCAGGAGTTTAAGGCGGTTCTGAGAGTGGTACRCAAATAAAACATGCATGGCAATTTCAAGCAAGATTGTTTATTATAAATGCTGTGTGCTGTTTAAATTTTAACACTTTACAACCCAACGCTTTATTATTCTTCCTAAAAAGAAACATTTCCACTAATTTAATTTTGCATGTCACAATTGAGGTCTGTTGTGCCGTCAGAAATAGGCCTCATTAGAGAGGACGCAAGTTTCACTGCGCCACAGGAAATGGGTCGCCTGTGAGAAGTTAAAAAAATAGGGGTTGTTATTTTTAAGGAAATACTTTATTATTCCTGTAGTTGCTCTCTGTCTGCCTTAACAACAATAATCTGTGAGAATTCATTAAATATTCTTTTAATTTACGCCACAGTCTGGTAAGCTGAATTTAGATTTTATATTTTGTYGTATTTCTCTATAATATCTAAAATCCTGCACCACTGAGAAGCTCTTTTTTTTGGTTATGCTATTTTGGAAGGTGCAGCTTTTTACAGTAGGTGCTTCTCATTCCCTTACAAATCAAATTGCCATCTGATTCTTTCTGTGTTGTCTCCTGAAGCTGTGTATTTCGTTAACAATGACTTGTGTTTCCTGTAGGAATTTTTCACAAGCCTGTGAAGTATGGGAAGATGTAYTGCTTGATCATCCCACTGATATGTTGGCTCTCAAATTCGCCCATGATTCTTACTTCTACATGGGAGCCCAGGTACCCATGAGGGACTCCGTGGCCAGAGTGCTTCCTCACTGGAAACCTCACACGCCTCTGTTCAGGTACAGATTACAGAATATACCATGTGACAACTATCACTTCCTGCTTTGAATCTATTGTCTATGTTGATCAAGAACAAAAACTAGATACTGCATAGCGGTGCATTACCTGCTGTATAAGTTAATATACAGCGGGTAAAATAAGTATTGAACACGTCACCATTTTTCTCAGTAAATATATTACTAGAGGTGCTAATGACATGAAATTTTCACCAGATGTTGGTAACAACCCAAGTGTAAGTAAGTAAGTAAGTAAG